TTTCATCTAATTTTTATTTACATATAAATCAGTTTTTCGTATTTCAAATTGCTAAAGATAATTCGAAGTTATTTTATATTTTGAGATGTAATCAACGAAATTTTGTATTGGCTATATCATTGGTTGCTTTAAGGAAGTCGTGGGGATAGGACGTCGCCTGAGCCAGTACCAAAGAAGATAAAAAAATATATGACAGCCTACGAAGCAGCCATGCTTGAATTGCAAACGAAAAAAATGGATGAAATATTACGTCCGCGTGGAAAGTCAGATTCTACATACGTGGTCTATGACTGAGCATCGGAAGATTAAACAGTGGGGTCTGGTTTTTATCACATAGCGACCATAGGAAATGGTTATCTAGCATATGGGTTCTAGGTCTCTGGACAATGAAGTGAACCTAAAGGAAAATGTTTACAGAATATATTTAGGCTATGGTCTTGACCGTTATTTATGCGATATATATGCGGATATTCCTGACTCTATGACTCTATGACCCTTCCTAGAAAAGCCCACTAAAAACTCCTTATTCATTTACAAAGAAGTCATCCTCATCCAATCCTGACCTAGTAATTCTTTCACCCTTATGCAGAGTTCCCCCGCCAAAATTCCCAGCACCAATGAATTAATTCCTTTAATTCTCGGTTCTCGGCCATTCTCTTTTTCTTAAAAATTTCTCTAGCCGAACCAATAGTAATAATCCCTAACCCTACTCCATCAATCCACCCCCGCTAACTAACATCCTTAAATTTCTCCAAGACTCACTCTCATTCTTCGCTGATCTATCAGGCAGTTCAGTCGAACACATTTACTTTTCTCCTCTCGCTAATTAGACATTATAATTTATCAGTTTTATTTCAGTTTATTCTAATCCGTTAATTTACTTAGTACCAGTTGACATTGTTCTTCTTTGATTCATAAAATAGCATTATTGTAGAGGTTATTTCTCAGTGCACCATCTGTAATAAATTTGACTCATTTGTTCACTTTACTTCATTCTTATATATATATTGTAACCTATACATCCGAGGATATTCGTATCGCGGTAATAATAAGATCTCGCTAACCCGAATAACCTTAAATATCAAGTAATAACAATTCGTAGGCATCGCGACGCTCAATTCTTCCGCACCTCTCAGGCCCCCTGGCCTACCATTGACGGGTATATAAACGGCGACGTTTCGCGACTCGAGATTCTATCACCTGAACTAGCTAGGTTACCTTTAGTAAAGTAAACGAGCAAACCGTCTCGGGATAATAAGATCTCGCTAACCCGAATAACCTTAAATATCAAGTAATAACAATTCGTAGGCATCGCGACGCTCAATTCTTCCGCACCTCTCAGGCCCCCTGGCCTACCATTGACGGGTATATAAACGGCGACGTTTCGCGACTCGAGATTCTATCACCTGAACTAGCTAGGTTACCTTTAGTAAAGTAAACGAGCAAACCGTCTCGGGAAAGCGGGCAAACCGTCCCACTTGACCATCATTTCTAGAGGTACTTCTACTCTTGTAATCGAGCAAACCGTCTTGGGTATGGAGCAAACCGTCTCTTCTGCCAGATAGAATCAATCTCTGCATTTCAGTTGGGCCGTCACTTTGACACATTTGATCATTGTGCCGTTTCCGCTATACATGCCATCATAACTTTGTTTAAAGACGTGCACAACTAGCTACTTTGCAAATGAGACTTCTCACCTCGCCAAGATAACAACGTTGTTTTTAGATAGGACCACGTCTACCTGTGATCATGAGTTCCCTTGTGGAAAACTGCTCAACAGCACGACGCTCATATTATAACGAGTCAACTCTGTAATCAAATTCCGCTGGTCGGAGGCTGCTTTCAGACATGATTCTATATTTCATTGATACAATCAGAATAAGAGCCAATATACAATCACACGAGATTAGAAGTTTACCTACGATATCCGTTCCCGTCAGACATATCGTATAGGTAAACTGCGTGTAACAACCGTATTGATACAATTGACTGTCCGATTACTAAACTGTTGTATATCTATTTATAATCATTCTTACTTTCTGCTTACGTTTATATCTATTGTTCGCTTACTAACATCCAGCATTCTCTAGGCTGGACCTGCACTAACCTTTCTTGTATTCCGTTGTAGGACAATATATTTTTCTTTTTTAATTTGTAAAACAAAATCTCACTTTCATTTGTTCCGCCTGATATCTTTTCTAAATTCCTAACAATCGATTCTGGCTCGAACCCGCCTTTTTGGCACGATCTGGAAAACCGTATCGTGCGAATAAGGTTACAATATATATGTATGTGTAATTCAAAACATTGCATATGCAGTTTTATAACAAATACTTTATGCAATGACATGTGCGCCTTGCTAGAAACTTCATTGTTTTCCATTTGTCAAATAAAACACATGAAAATCGGGAATGAACTATAGCAATCGTAGAAAAGTAATAGTGAACGGAACCTTTTGAAGAATATGCCGCGAACCCATGAAGGCATACAATGTTGCAAGCAAACTAAAAACATTCCCGCGGCTTCTGCTAGCCTTTTTCAGTTCTTTCTTCTAGTTTGAGAATGTCAGTTCGCTCTGCGTTTTCAAATATAGAGTGAATGAATATAAACGTTTCAAGAATGGAACACGAAAATAAGAAAAAGGAAAGGCAGTACGATTTCTGTGCGTACGGAGAATGTGCAAACGGAAAATTAACGACCAAGTCCAGACTGTACAGGTTTCCTAAGAAGGACGATCCTCGACTGCCAATATGGATCAAAAATACAGGTGAGTTGTTAATATGAACTTTCTATCTGTACACCTATCTAGCATACCTTTTGTCTGTACACTGAATCTTATTAGAGTGAACTTCACACAGTGTCTAATACAGTATTTAAAAGTTCACTGTCAGTAGTTAGAAAATTTCGTTAATATAAGTTGAACTTTACACACAACAAATTTTGTATGTCCTCTGAAAGATCTAGTCTACAGATAAAGGTTCTATTCTCAAAAGTACTATCTCTATAGGCCGGGAGGGAGAATAAAGGGAACACATTATAATTAGAGAAATATATTAATTTATTATTCTAATTCTGGATAAAGTATAACTAAAACCTATCCAGAATTGCCTCCATCATAACGCGCAATGCGCGGTCTGCCCCTTCTGTTGCTGCTGCTGGTGGTGTATTTCGTGTATTGGGACGGCCGTTTTGCCCTCCGCGACCACGATACGGGGCCTGCTGTCCACCGTTGGCCGCCTGCCCCTGCTTGCGGCTCCACCGCCAATTCGGTTTTTATTTCCCATCTGAAAATAGAGCAAAATATATAATAGTATTTAAAGAAAATGTATCATAGTTACTAAACAAAATTTGTACTTACTACCACCACCTCGTCCCTGACTGCCCGGTTTTCCCGTCAGTTCTTTTGGTTCTGTTTGGTTTTTTTTTGTGGCCTGCTCTGCCACCGCGTGCTGCTGCTTCTCGGTTCTACAAACAATACAAAAACACGTTAATACAAATAATTTGAAATGGAATGTCTAAAATAATATATGTACATTAATCACGAACATGTTTTTTTAAACTTACGTCAAATCGCTCTGTTCGAGGAGAGCCGCCAACTTCTCCGTCTCACTCTCCAGGGTTCTTTGTTATTCTGTAAAATAAACCAAACGAATTACATTAAACTTTGTAGATATCCTAAAATTTCAGTATATCCTGCGATGAGGTTTTTGTATTGCAATATACTATTTAAACTGATACATCTCCTCTCTAGAAGATGATGTCGCAAAGGAAAGAGAGGAACTATATACTATTAAAAGGAAACAAGACTTACCATTTTGGTCACACGTCGAAACTATTCTGTCGCGATGCAGCTCGGCGAGCGGCGATCGGGGATCGCGTGAGAGTATGGAAGGGATAGGCGAGACGGCGTGCGGTGGGAGGTGTAGTACACGAGCGCATGGCATGAAGAAGGTGACAGGCAATAGAGCACTTAAAAAAAAGGGATTTTTTAAAATTTCTTTAAAGAAACTCTTTGAATGTATGATTTACATTTTTTTTCTAGACGTTGACAAATATTTTTTATGTGTGCATAAAATTTATAATGTTTAAATTAAAAATCGATGTGAATCGGCGTGCATTGTAGTATCTGAACTGTTAGTCTGAAATAAAACAAAATATTTCGTTGATTCACGAATTTTTGTGTACTATCAATGTATAATTAAATTAAAAAATGCATGATTAAAGAATCTGCGGCGCCTTGAAAAGAAGTAGACATTCATGAAAAAAAAAACTTCATGTTAGATAATAGTAATTTCTACAAACTTGCAGCTGTTTAATTCGAATCTGCCATGCAGGACTCATGCTCTTTTTTTTATTTTTAAACTATCGCAATTGCACTGCTGTTTGATTATTACTAGTTATCATTGTTGCAAAATTTCTAAGATGCAATTATATTGATCATTGAACATGTTCTTTCATTGCGTTCCAGGTAATAAGCGACTGAAAGGGTTATCAGCGTCTACTCTTCGAGTTTGCGGACAATGCGAAGAACACTTTGAACCGAGCTGTTTCATTGATCCGAAGCGCCGTTTGACTCATGATGCGGTTCCAAAGATGTTCATCGAGAATGAAGATGTTTGGCCGGAAACATCAGACGCACATGTCACAAAGGAAGTCGGAGAACTGCATGTGACATTGGAAAGAGACGAGACTCCGGTAAGTTCAATCACGTTTCTAGAACCATTACGTTCGATCGATTCGGATTTAGTAACTCGTGATAATTTCGGTGATCAATTAAGTGATACTCTATTCACTTCGGCGGTCAATACAGCTACTGGTGCATCTACCAGTACTGCCGCGATAGCGGAGTTTTCAGGTACGAAGCATGTTCGCACATATAGGAGAGTCGCAGTAAACTTTTCTGACTCTGAAGATGAAAATTGTGCGTGGAGAAAGATCGAAACGCCGGCGCATTCGACTGTCCCATCCTGCGAACCTTCTACTGTAGAATCTCTGGAAAAAATGACCGGTCGTCTTAATGAACAGATTGCAAATCTTAAAAAATGTAAAGCAGCTCTAAAACGAAAAGAGTCTGTGAGCCGCCAAAAGATTGCATTACTGCAGCGAAAACTGCCACGAGCTTCGACAAAAAACGCGCGCCTCAGGAGTAAGGCTAAAAAAGAGTCTATCGACGACTTCCTCGATCGGCACAAGTGCAGAGAACCCGCGGCCAGAACAATGGTAAAACTCCAGTTGCATCGCAAGAAGGCTCATTACTCCGAAGAGGAAAAAGAAAAGGCATCGGCGTATATGCGTTTGAGGAATGCAGGTTGCTCATTTCCTTCGGAGAGTAGCGTACGCAACTGGATTTCGGAAGTTGATATTAAACCCGGATTTTGCGATTTCATCTTCAGAAAATTAGCCGATAAAATCTCGATTCTCCCGCTCGAAAATCGTGTGTGCGCGTTGAAATTCGACGAAATGACAATCAAAACATTCGAAGAATATTCTGAGAAGTTTGATTGTATCGAGGGCCTTGTCGACCTCGGTTCTCTTGGCCGCAAAGACGAACGTGCTCGATACGTCTTTTTATTTTGCGTCGATAGCATCAATGCAAAAAATCCTTGGCGTCAATCATTAGCATATTTTCTTACGGAAACCGGAATGAAGGCTTTCCATATTTACGAATTGCTAAAAGGATGTTTATGTAGATTGTCCGCTGCAGGAGCTGAAGTAGTGCTTATAACTTGTGACCAGGGTCCATCGAATCAAAGTCTTTTTGGCTCGTACCTTAAAGTATCAGCGAAAAAGCCTTTTTTTACGATTGGAGAAAAACAATTCTTCGCTTCTTTCGATTTCCCGCACCTTATTAAACGGCTGTTGAGCACTCCCCGTACGCATAAGGTGTTATATTGCAAGGGGGAGGTAATGGTCAATTATCAGGACTTTGTCGATGCGTGGGAGTATGATAATTGCTGCAGCACTTCTAATCTGCTCTCCCACATCACGAAAGCGCATTTGCATCCGTCGTCCTTTGAGGCGCTGAATGTCAAACGTACCTTTCAAATGTTGAGCCATAAATTTGCCGCAGCCATATTAACCGCGGGTAATGATCCGAAAGGGTTGAAGAGTAATACGTGGTGTGATATACACCATGTGCGTTAGGTGCGAGTGAGCGAGCACGATGCGAATCACGCAACAATAGCTCGATTGCCGCGTAGGCCAACTCTGCGAAGCAGTAAGTCTCTGGCCGGCCTGGAGGCAAGTAGCGCTCAGGAATCCGTCTTTGTTTACCTGCTGTACCTCACATTATAACTGCCTTATCAGATATATATAACTTTTATAATTAGCCGAGTCTGCTGTTGCATCTATCTCCCACACATCCTGACACAAACACATCCGCACCACCTCTCAGTACATTACAACTTGGCGACGAGGATATTAAGTGAAATTTTAGTGCGTGTAATTGAGTGACGGGTAACGTTAGAAGAGTTTCGTTAAATAAGAGGGCATTTAACGAAAGTGTGTAACCAGAGTGTAGAGTGCTCCACCGTGTAGCTATCCGTGGCATAGTTAATGGAGAACAAGCCAAAGACGGGCTGGATCCAGAAGCTTAATAAGCAACAAATAATCCAGGAGTTAGCCACAAGAAAAGTAGACTTTGAAGAAACTGAGAATTTTGACGTTCTTCGTGAAAAGCTTAGGGAAACCATTAAGAGAGAAGAACCAACGGATACGGCCAGAGAAGAAGAATCCACACAAGCAAGTGATAATAAGGCAGATACTGTCGAGCAAAATATCCCATCAGGAAATTCAAGTAGTGATTCTGATTGGGAGGACAGCATGGCGGAAAGTATTGAAATTAATTTTAGCTTAGAACGAGATGATTGGGAAACGTTTGTGGAACAACTAGAATTTTATTTCATCGAGAAAAATATCACTGATGACAAAAAAAAGGGTAAGCTCGCTAATGACGCGAGTAGATCAAGAATCATTCAAATTAATCAAACAGCTGATTTTGCCGGAAAAAATAAGCGATAAAAAGTTCGATGAAATTGTGAAAGTAGTTTCTGGACATTTCAAACCAGCACCATCAGAAGTGATGGAAAGGTGCAATTTCCGTTTAGCGAGACAAGAGGCTAACGAAAGAATCGCCGATTTTGTTGTAAGACTAAAAAAACTAGCCTTAAACTACAAATTTACAGATGTGAGTATAGAACTGCGAGACCAGCTGCTGTGCGGTATACGCAATAAGGATATAAGAGTTAAGCTGTTTAGTGAAAAAGACTTAACATATGAAAATGCTTTTCAAATAGCGACTTCGTTCGAATCGGCGATCAAGAACGCAACGGCATCATTGAACGCGTTGGAAAATAAACAACAAAAAGATGAGGTGTATAAAATTCGAAATGAAAGGCAAGGCTACAAAAATAATAAAACGATGGGTATGAAGAAAAAATTCAAATGCTACAGTTGCGGAGAAGAAGACCATATAAGCAAGGAGTGTAAGTTCAGAGATTATACATGCAACCGCTGCGGCAAGAAGGGCCACATAGTGAAAGCATGCTGGAGCAAGGGTATCGAGAAGAACGCCCAGAAAGCCGTAAACAAGGTCGACGAGGACATATCATCCGACAGCGACACGGCGTATTCAAGATCATCGCACAGAGAAGACTTTTACCATTTACAGTTAAGTAAAACCGCGTGCGATGATGATAGAAACCGGGCGAAAGCGATTAGTACACCGAGTGTAAACACAGCTACCGACAGAAAAAACGTAAGTAGTAGCGCTTCGAATGAGTGTTACGGAATTGAGTGTACAGACACGAAGCCAATATTTCTGAATATGAAGGTAAACGGTCAGAATTTAAAACTTGAAATCGATACGGGTTCTTTCAAAACAATATTTTCGGAGGAATTTCACAAAAAATATTTCAAGAATATTATCCTATCGGCAGCTGATGTCAAACTAAACGCTTATGGAGGAGTACCACTGAAAGCGGTTGGTAAACTAACAAATTTGCAGGTTAGCTACGAGAACTTGACAAAAAAATTAAATTGCGTAAAATTATATTGACATATACTCTCCACTGGATACATCGGGGGTGGTAGCAGAGGGAACGTAGAATGTCCCGAAGCTGCTGCTGTGATTCAGTCAAGCACAGTGGTAGCCAGAGCGTTCGACCGATCAGAGGGAATGTTCGAAAACCCCCTCGAACATGACAGAGACGACGAAATGATCGAGGTCCAAGATGAGGCAGAGATGTTGCAGTATGAAAGTGAAGAGGTCGAAACAGTGATGGAATCCAAGGAACTTCATGAAAGCACGCAATCTGTTTATGAGCAGAATGCTGTCAACTTTTTCGCAGGATACGTAGCTCAGCGCCACATGCGCAACCATCCGTGCGACAATTGTCGCAACGACATATTGAAAACACCAATGAACGAACGTTCTTCTACTGAGATGTACACCGAATTTCGGGAGTACGAACATGAAGATGAAGAAGCTCCAACGGTGACATGGCTTAGTCGACCAACTGAAAAGTTTGAAAGTATAATGGGCGTTCAACTTGAAGCTTTCGGTCGATTGTGGAAGAAACACTGGGTGTGCAACGGCATTTTGAATAATCTTGCAGGAGGGATTATACAGGAAACTAGCCAGCCGCATTCTGACTGGTTTGACGAACATTACGAGTGCCGAGAGCATCGTGTAAAGCTTGTAACGTAATTTTTGGAGATCCTCCGCGGCCGTTTCCCCAGGGCATCGGGCGACAGCTGGGCACCACATCCTTAACTCGGGCAGGAGGTTCCTCTCCTGCCCTTAACCGTATCAAAACTACCTCCGTCCACTCTACAGCCCTTTGCCCATCTCCAGCGGGGCGCCGGTATCTCACCCGGGCTTCTGCCGGTCCGTGGAGCCGTCTCCGTCGGGTAATCTCCTCTGCCGGGCAACTTGGTACGTCGAGACTATATCCCCACGGCAGATTCGAGCACCTCGACCTCAACTAAACACTGACACAATCTTACGAGAGCCTTGACATAACTGTACGAATCAACCCGAGAGCGTAGCTTCTGA